CTTTTGTTTGGTCAATTTCCAGAGCATTGAAATGATTGTTTCTGATAATGTTGTCCAGTTGAATAGTTGTTCTTGGGGAGAGGATTTATTGCCCTCTTCTCTACTCCGTAGCTGGAGTTCCATTACACGTTTTAGATGGGTTTGCCATGTTTTGAAAACTGATGGATATGTGTATATGAGACTGTAATAAGGGGTTAATGAGACAAGTGCCTCTGATTTTCTGACAATGTTATTGAGAAATATGTAATCACAGCAACTTCTGAAGTCTCTATTGCATTGGGTAAGAGGGCTTTTATGTCTCATTCTTTTTTTTTTATCAGTTGCTTCAATTTTAAAACTTATTCCTTGAACATATTCCTGGAAACTTAAGATATAAAACCCTTCTCATGAGCACTAAAAATTTTCACAAGGATTAAAAAAAAAATCACTTCAAGATCTTGCCTCTAAGATTAGCTAGACTTTGGGTTTATAGGTATCCTTTCCCTGTGACCAAAATCAACGGATGAGATGAATACTTTGTTGGGAGGAACATTTTTCCTCTACCATCTTAGGTCTTAGTGTTTAGGGCCTCTGAATTAACTGACAAAAGACAAATTAACTAGAGAAAAGTTTATTAAACATGCAGAAGAGAGTAGCTTGCTGAATAGTTAGGATTAAATGTTTATATGCCAGCGTAATGGAGGGGTGTGTGTGTGAAGAAAGGAGGGGTTCAAATGCTGGAAGGTTCTGAAGATGCTTGTTTACACAAATTTTTTTTTTGGATTTCTTGGTGCCCAAGGTCAGGTTTCTCTCTGCCTGGAGACCTCCTAGAGATGGGGAGGCACTTTGTGGTAGTTGACTCTTGTAAAGCTCTACAAAGCTTTTTTTTTTCTTTTCCTTTCTTTTCTTTTCTTTTCTTTTCTTTTCTTTTCTTTTCTTTTCTTTTCTTTTCTTTTCTTCTCTTCTCTTCTCTTTTATTCTTTCTTTCTTTCTTTCTTTCTTTCTTTCTTTCTTTCTTTCTTTCTTTCTTTCTTTCTTTCTTTCTTTTAAATCAGATAAGATGTTTCCTTTTTCATGAGCTATAGTTCCAAAGTTTTCACTTTGATATCATTTTGGTAGGTTTTTGGTCCCTTCAACCTACTTATTGGTTTTACACAGCTATTGTTTTTAACAAATAAGAAATAGCAATTAGAATCCTAACAGTGGCTAATGTGGAAATAAAGATTAGGGAAACATAGATTTGACTTTGGAACCTACCTAGGATGGGTTTTTGATATAATTTACCATAGTTTTTTTCAATTCTATTTGATTATACCTCCTTAAGTACCCTGGAACTCTTCAGAGGTTATGATGAGGAGTTTGGCTTTTATTTGATGACACTACAGAATCAAATGTTTTTATCAACGAAGTGGCATGATAAGAGTTATCCTTTAGAAAGTTAATTCTTCTTTTTTTAATGTTTATTTATTCTTGAGAGAGAGAGAGAGAGAGACAGAGTGTGAGTGGGGGAGGGTCAGAGAGAGGGAGGCACAGAATCCCAAGCATGCTCCAGGCTCTGAGCTGTCAGCACAGAGCCTGATGCAGGGCTCGAACTAAAGAACTGTGAGATCACAACCTGAGCCAAAGTTGGAGGCTAACCAACTGAGCCACCCAGGCACCTGGAAAGGTAATTCTTAAGAGTAATAATGTGTGAGGGCACAGAATAGGAAAGTTGGAGATTAGAAGGCCAATTAAAAGTTATCAGCAATAATCCAGGTCAGATGGTTCTTGAATTTTAGCACACATCAGAATGACCTAGGGGTCTTGTTAAAAAACAAATTGCTGGCCTCACTACCAGAGTTTCAGATTAAATAGATCTGGGGTGGGGCCTGAGAGTTTTTATTTCTAACAAGTTTCAGGTGATTCTGATGCTGTCAGTTCACTTTGAGGACCAACTGGTCCAGACAAAGGAAATAAATGCTTGAACTAGACTGCTGGTTATAGGCTCAAAAGATATCAGAATGGGAGAATCTGCATGCTCCAGTAATTAATAGGATACGGAGAATGAAGGTGGTAGTTCAAGATGATGGAATTCAGACTTGGATGTTTGGTGGTTCTCTTAATGGAAGTAGCTGTAGAAGGTAATTTGGAGAGGTAGGTTGATGATGAACTTATTTTGGACTTAACTGAATTTGAGATGCTAGAAAGACACTTAGGTGGAGTCTCAGTAAACATTTGGAAATATGGCTTCTTATCTGTGAGAGATTGGGGTCATAAATGGAAATCTTGAAGCTTTCACATTAGAAGTGAACTTGAGGCTGAGGGATTGGTTGAGGCTATCATGGGACTCAAACCCTCAAGCCAAGAACAGAATTGTGGAGATTCTTATCTTCTGGAGGTGGGAGAAATAGGAAACAGGGGTGGCCTGGAGAGCGCAGCGTTACAGTGTGGGAAGGAAGAAGAAAGTGTCAACAACAAGCCACCAGGATCCAATTCTGCAGAAGAAGAGGCGTGTCTTCCAGTGTCATTAGATTCTGTTACGAGGAGGTAATGGGTGACCTTTAAAGGAGAAATTTCAGCAAAGTGGGAGGGCAAAGGCAAGGTTATAAAAGTTTAGGGAGTGAGTAGATGGTTATAAAGTGAAGATCATTAGTGGCACCTTGGGTGGCTCAGTCAGTTGAGCGTCCAACTTCGACTCTGGTCATGAACTTGGGGTCCCTGGGTTTGGGCCTGCATTGGGCTCTGTGCTGACGGCTGAGAGCTTGGAGTCTGCTTTGGATCCTGTGTTTCCCCCTCTGTTCCTCCCCTACTTGCACTCTGTCTCTCTCTCTCTCAAAAATAAATAAAGACTAAAAAAAAAAAAAAAAAATTAAAAAAAAAAAACAAAGTGAAGATCAGTGGATCTTTATAACCAAATATGAAGTTGAAACTAATGGGAATTCAAAACAAAACAAAAAAAGCAATCCTGAAAACTCAATAGGACTTCAAACATGCCACTCCTGGACAATGAAAACTAACTCCATACTTCTAGGGAGTTTGAAAAGCTGATATTTGGAAGTTTGGTGAAGCCAGAGAAGACTTGTGATTAGCAGCAAGGTGAGGACCAACAAATGGTAAGGAAGAAATGGAGCAGTGGTTTAGTAAATACAAATTCCATTGCATGCACAGAAGTAAGAAAGGTGGGCAGAAAAAAAAGAAAAGTGGGGAAAGAAAAGGGACCAAAATGTGTCACTGAAGGGTGTGTATTTATTGTATTGTATTGTATTGTATTGTATTTTTAAGTTTATTTATTTATTTTGAGAGGGAGAGAGAAAGAGTGCAAGCAGGGGAGGGGCAGAGAGAGATGGGGATGGATAGAGAGAGAGAGAGAGAGAGAGAGAGGGACAGAATCCCAAGCAGACTCTGTGTTGTCAGTATAGAGTCCAATGCAGGGCTCCATCTCACTAACGGTGAGATCATGACCTGCGATAAAACCAACTAAGCCACCCAGGTGCCCTGAAGGGTGTGAATTTTTAAGGAAGTTTTAGCAGGGACATTATTGTCCTATCTGGTTACTTAATCACCTGGTAATAAAAAAGATGGAATTTTCATATTGCCAGAATTTACTCATATATGTATCTGATTCTTTTTTTATATAATTTAAAATTTTTTAACATTATTTTTGAGAGAGAGAGAGAGAGAGAGAGAGAGACAGAGAGACAGAGAGAGCAGGGGAGGGTCAGAGAGAGAGGGAGACACAGAATCTGAAGCAGGCTCCAGGCTCCTAGCTGTTAGCATATAGCCCAGAGTGGGGCTTGAACTCAGGGATGATGAGATCATGACGTGAGATCATGACCTCAGTCGAAGTCGGAAGCTTAACCGACTGAGCCACCCCAGGTGCCCCTGCATCTGATTCTTTCTTAATCACACCTGCCAAACTTAAATAGCCAGCAATTTTTAGCAGCAAAATGGGTTTATTTGGGAATAGCAGAGGAATTGCGATTCAGGATGCACAAAGTATGGCAAACTGAGGCAAGTCTGGAGGTTAACGTAGAGGAAGTCTACTTTATAGAGAAAAGGAGGAAGTTGGGAAGGGCTACTTTGAATGAAGTTCATTGGAGGATATAAACAAGAGTTCAGGGTGGTAACTGTTTCCTGTTGGTTGAGTTGTGGTATTTTCTTACTGGCCGTGTTTATTGCTGGGCAAGGAGAAAGTCTTTCTCCTGCTGGGGTAGTAAAGTCAGCCTCTTCTTGTGGGGGTCTGCAATTGACCTTGAGTGATAGTGGTGCAAGCTTCTACTGCTGTCCTCTGGATTCCATTTTAAATGAGTTTTTATTTATTCAGTTTCACAGGCCAAAAATTAATAGCACTTTCTCTCATCTTCAAGTGTAGTTCACAGGAGTCTAAAGTGTGCAACTGAAATATTTTATTTTCTTAGTACCGTAAGTGTAGTGATATGATGCCCCTTTGCAAATGCCACTGCTATTTTTATTGAAAATACTCTGGGTTTGGGACTAATGAGAATGGTGGGGATCACTCATGTAACTCAGTGAAAAAGGAGTGCAGACACAGATGTATACAGAAAGTACTTTCGTCACCATTTGTACTCCCTTTCCCTCTTTTAGGTTATTTGAATAAGTAGTTAGAAACATATGTGATTTCGCACCAGACCTTGTGATTCTTTTTTCTTTTTTTTTCCAGGCACAGAGAAATTTTTTTTAGCCGAACTGTTTGCTTAGTGTACATTAAAGAACTGATGTTCACAGTATAGCTGATAGCTAGTGGAAATGAAATAATCTGTATTGACACATTTGGAAGTTTCACATCTTTTTCCACTTAACATGCTAACGTGATAATTGCCAGACTGATGATTTTTCCAGTGACACATCTCCCTTTGTCAATATTTAGACCTGTGTATAGAAAGCTTATTTAACACACCTGGCTAATTTTCACTTCATTTAAAAATAAATGGAACATGTTTAGCTCGCAGGGTTAGAACAAAAAAAGAAAGAGGTTTCATAAATAATCTCAAAACATGTTTTTGACAATAAGAAAAAATATATAAGAAGTAATTTTCTTTATTAATGGTATTTGATCAGATTTAAAAATCTTAACTGGATTATGTATTAAGATAATTTTATGGATTTTGAGAATTTTTTTTTCCCCTTAAAGAAAGTTCTTTGGAAACTCAAAAAACTCACTTGGAATATTCAAATGGGATACTCTGATTGGGATTTTGCAACTTTGAAAGGCCATTCCAGAGTGTGGTCAATTAGTTATTGTTTTGTAATCTCCACTTGTAATCAATCACTGGTGCATCACCATGTCCACCAGGCAGAAGAATCTTGGTCTTGATTTAGTGTTTCAGATGATTACAACTTATTGTAGGGTAGCTTTCCTGGGATATGCTCAAAGCGACCCATCTTCTCTAAGACTCCTGGTGAATCCCTTAAGAAGAAAAAGGCATAAAAGCGACCCAACTCAAAGTACATTGTTTCTGACTGGGTGGGTGGTCCATGTTTTACTCATTTTTCCTTTGGTTTGGAAAGCAGGTGTTTCAGTTTAGCATATGAATCCCTTTGGTAGCCACTTCTGATATCCCCCAGGTCTCTGTGAGGCTGATAAAGTGGAGGGTGCTAAGGACAGGAAATGCTTATTTCAAAAAGCTGGGGTGAATGGAGATCCTAACCTGCTTTCTGATTGGTTTCTCATTGGCATGCTTTTGAGGGTTTTGATGTTCTTCTCACTCCTTCTTCTTCCCTTTTCATAAAACATAATTGCTGTTTAAAATGTTAGCCTGGCTTTCTTTTGAAAGTAGAATTGAACTGACAGTAACTGGGTTAACTGTATTGCTAGATTTTTCTGGTTTCCAAAGAATGCTTCAAAAGTGTGGAAATAAAGCTCTTTTTCTTTTTCTTTTTTATGGCTAACAACTTCCCAGCCTTCTAATTTGCTGTCCTGTTACATTGGAGTTCATTATCTTTGTATTACAATTTAGTCATTCTGTTTGAGTTTCCATCCTTTCATTCGTTCCTGAATTCTTGCTGAAAACGGCAATAAAAGTAACACAGCTGAGGCTTGCATACAAACTGAAGACATAATGAGAACAGTACTTTCATAGGAATTCTATCCTACATCACGGGTTTCATTTCAAACATTTAGAATGAAAGGCACGCTTTAAGTATAGTGAGATCTTTTTCCTTCTCTTACCTTCCCTCCTTCCAAATTCAATTATACAACATGGCACATAATTTTCAATTATACTACATGGCACATAATTTTTATCTTTACTTGCTTATAGAGTATACATGGTTATATAAAACCTCTGAAGATTTGGAGTAATAGCCCAAGAAATCATTGAATATGATGGGTTTTGTTGCGTCACAAAGCAGTATATTGCAACGCCAATGTTTTAAATTATAGAATAAAGTTGCAATTGCAGATCAGAGATGAATGGTTAGACTTGGATAGTCGTTCTGGAAAATTAAGTAGAAAAATGACTATTAATTGGTATTTGCAAGCAGATGCAATAGCTAACTAAGGCTAGCCATAGAATGAAGACCATATAGTAAAATGTCACTACTTGTTTGATTCAGAATATCCCATGAGAAGAGATCCTTCAAAATAGTGCCCACCATTCTTTTTGTGACCTCATGGCAATGAAACCAGATAATTAAAAATAATGTATGCTTTAAAGTAATATTAATATTCCCCTTAACTATGTGGGATTACATTTTTAAAGAGAAATAGAAGTCCCTGGCATTTCTAATTAACAAGACCTGGTTTTATATTTTGCCTATTTTGGCAAAATAAGTTTGGCAATAAAGCTATCAGCAGAGACTTTTAGAGAGTTGACTTTAAAAAAAATTTTTTTTTTTTACATTTATTCATTTTTGAGAGACGGAGAGATACAGAGCACAAGCGGGGGAGGGGCAGAGAGAGAGAGGTAGACACAGACTCAGAAGGAGGCTCCAGGCTCTGAGCTGTCAGCACAGAGCCTGACGCGGGGCTCCAACTCATAAGCTGTGAGATCATGACCTGAGCTGAAGTCAGATGCCCAACCGACTGAGCGACCTAGGCGCCCCTTAAGAGTTGACTTTTTTAAAGATTTTATTATTTTTATTTTTATTTATTTATTAAAAAAATTTTATGTTTGTTCATTTTCGAAAGACAGAGAGAGACAGAGCACAAGTAGGGGTGGGCGGAGAGAGAGGGGGGACACAGAATCTGAAGCATGCTCCAGGCTCTGAGCTGTCAGCACAGAGCCCAAAGTGGGTCTCCAACTCACAAACTGCGAGATCTTGACCTGAGCCGAAGTCGGATGTTCAACTAAGCCACCTAGGTACCCCTTTATTATTTTTTTAAAAGTAATCTCTACACCCACTGTGGGGCTCAAACTCACAACCCTGAGATCAAGAATTGTGTGCCGCACCGAGTCAGCCATGTGCCTCTAGGGTTGATTTTTTTTTTCTTTTGAGAGAAAGAGAGGGACAGAGAGAGCCAGAGAACGCATGTGTGTGTGTATTTATGTGCAAGTCAGGGAGGGGCAAAAGCAGAGCGAGAGAGAGAAAATCTCAAGCAGGCTCCATGCCCAGAGCACAGGCTGATGGGGGGCTCAATCTCATCAACTGTGAGATCATGAGCTGAGGCAAAATCAAGAGTCAGAAGCTTAACCTACTGAGCCACATAAGGGTCCCAAGAGTTAATTTTTTTATTGGAACATCACAGGTCTGGTAATTAGAAAAAGAAAATGAAATAAAAACAAGCATTTCTAGAAGTGGGTAGTGAGTAAAAAGAATGGCATAATTTGAATGAAATAAATTACATGTCATACACGGTGTTTTTCGTGTTTTTCATACTGTTACAGAATATAATAAAGTTTTTTTTTTAATTTTTTTAGAAATCGTCAATTTCTTCCAATTAGGCAGAACCATGTGGCAACCCAAATTATCATTACAAAGTTGTTTGGTGGGCAGTGTATCAAATAAACAGAATGAGGTTATTTAATATTTAATGGCTGCAGGAAGATATCAGCAACCATCCTTCTTAGGTGAGGGTTAGTTTTTTCAAAGAAAAACAGAATACCTGAAGTCCTTTGAGTACTGTTTCCTCTGTCCTGGAAAAAAGCTTAGAAAAACCACGTTTGGATGTTTGATCTTTCATTCTAGCTACTCTCTCCACCAATCCAAATGTTCATTGTTTAGATGTTTAGGGTTGACCATTCTGATTTCTTCAGTTCATTTTACATGTGTAATTTTTGGCCCAGTTAGTTCATGCTCATTTTATAGTTTAATCTTTTAATCCTGTAACTAAAAATTATAGTATCACCAGAGGACCTTTAAATGCCCATTTCTGGATCTCTAAGAGATATCTTTCAGTGGGCCAGGGGTAGGGTCTAAGACAGGTGACCCTGTCACAGAGATACTAGAATAACCCTTCAAAAACCATTGTTAAAGAGTATTTTCATATTTAATTTTTGAATACGTAATCTATTTATATGGCTCAAAAATAATGATTCCAACTCCACATTTGTGTCATTTTCCACCCCTCAAAGGGTAACCTTTGTCCATCATGAAGTAGACACCAAAATAGGATTAGATGTGCAGGTCTGATATCTGGAAGGAGAGAGAAGGAAAGAGGATTGGGATTTCAGAGTGTAACGCAGTTCCATGAAAGACAAGCAAGGCTGATGGGGAGTTTCTTGTACCAGGGACCCTCTGACTTGCTGGCATGGGTTTGCTTGGACATTGTCTGGGAAGTTGGCCTTGGCACAAACACGGTGGTAGAGCCAGAGGGCCCACAGCTAAGGCCATATGTCAGGTATGCTCCCTGCAGCAGCAGGTCTGAGTGACGGACTTACTGGCTGCTACACATTGTTATTAGTTTCTTGTGAATGGTTTCCAAGTATTTTTTTTTTTCACATGTAAGGAAAATTCTATTTTTCCATTTTTTTTAACACAGAAGTTAGGATTTTAAACTCTTTTGTGCATTTTTCCACTTGGGTTTTTCATTTAAATGTTGGAGATCTTTCCACAGCAGTACATTCAGAGTACCCTAATTCTTCTTTTACAGTTGCCAAATGTTCTACAGTATGGCTGTACCATGGGTTTTAATTTTTTATTTTAACCAGTCATCCCTGATGGATATTTGTTTCCATTCTAAATAATGTTGTGGGGACTAAACTTGTACAGACATCATTTTGCACATTTGTGTATGCAAATGTACATATATGTACATATATGCACATATACAAATATGAAAAATGAAAAAATGCAAATTTATCTGTAGGATAAACTCTAGAAAGGAACTGCTGGGTCAAGGATATATATAAGTAATTGTGACAGGTGTTGTCAAATTGTTCTCCATAGAGCCTAGAGCCCATAAATAGAGTTATACCTATTTATATTCCTGATGTATAGAGTTCCTGTTTCTCCATAGCATTGCCAATTGAATGTATTTTCAAATGTCTGAATTTTTGCCAATATAAGTGAAAAATTGAATCTCAGTGTAGTTTTATTTTGCATTTGTCATCTTATAAAGAATAGTTTTGAAGATAGGTATTTAAGAGTCATTTGTATTTCTTTTTCTGTGATCTGGCTGTTCTTTGTTTTTGTTCTTTGTTTTTCTATTGAATTATCTTTTTCTTACTGTCTTTCTTATTTTTCTTATTTTTTTTCTTTATGTGACTTAAAAAATATATATATGATTAGTCCATTATCTGTGATATGAGATGTGAATGCTTTTTCAAGTTTCTTGGTTATATTTCTACTTTGTGTATATAATGTTTTACATGTGGGAGGAAAATACATATATACATAGTATAGACATATTTAAAGAGTTCTAAATTTAGCATCTATTTTGGGGAGGGACTCAGGATTCTTAGTAATAGTTAGAAAGGCCTTCCCTACTTCAAGTATGTAAAGGAATTCTCCCAGATTTTTATCTGATACATATGTGATTTCATTTTTTACAGTGAAATCTTAAAGCCGTTTGGTCTAAAAGTGTGAGGTATGAATACAGCATAGTATTCTCTCCAGATTTATCCCAACTCATTTAATGAGCTATCTTTAATCCAAAGATTTAAGGTGTCACCCTGTTATATTTCAAATTATGCTAAATTCCCTTATGTATCTGGGTCTCTTTCTATTAGTTACATTGTTATATCTATTTATTCTTTTAAATTATTGAGACTTTATAATATGTTTTAATATTTGGTAAGACTAATCCTCTTAGCTCTTCCCTTTTATTGGTTTCCTGACTATTCTTATTTATTTTTTCCAAATGAACTTAGATTTCAAAGATCAAACAAACAGCAAATAACAAAAACAAGAAAAAACTTGATGGCACTTTGTTAAGATTCTGATAAATTTATACATTAACTTATGAAAAAGAAAAACTTACGAAGAATGACAACTTTAATACATTGAATGGTTGTGTAAATGAACATAATATAGTTTTCTTTTATGTTCTTGCCAATAATCTTATCTGTCTCTTTTACAAACTCTTGAGACATTTCATTGTAGTTCCCAAATACTAAAAGTGATAACTTATCATTGACATGTTAAAATATAATTTTCAAAAAGGCTAAATCATGACTCTTATGGATATGTAGAATGAAAACAGGTCAAAGAGGGGCACCTGGGTGGCTCAGTTGGCTAAGCATCTGGCTTTGGCTCAGGTCATGATCTCACAGTTTGTGGGTTTGAGCCCTGCGTCGGGCTCTGTGCTGACAGCTCAGAACCTAGATCCTACTTCTGATTCTTTGTATCCCCCTCTCTCTCATTTTCTCTTCCCCTCTCTCTCAAAAATAAATAAACATTAAAAAAAATTTAAAAAAACATGTCAAAGATTTCATTCATCTTGGGGTACCTGGTTGGCTCAGTTGGTACAGCATATGACTCTTGATCTTGGGGTTGTGAGTTCAAGCCCCATGCTGGATGCAGAGATTACTTAAAAAAATAAAATTTATTTTTTACTTTATCTCATAAGTTAATAAGGGAACCAGTTAGATGTTACATTAGTACAAAGAGCTTTGAGAAGCTAG